GAAAAGCGATCGGTTCCAGCTCTCCTCATGGGGCGCTACACGGGCAAGACGTGCCGGCTGATCTTCATGCTGGTGCTGACAGCGAGCCTGTGCGTGGCCGAGCTGGTGTCGGGCTACGCGGGCAACTCGATCGCGCTGGTCTCCGACTCCTTCTCCATGCTCTCCGACGTGCTCGCTCTGTGCGTGGGCCTCGTCACAGGACGGATGTCTCGCCAACGCCGACGCCGCCCCGGCGCCTCTTACGGCTCCGGGCGGGCCGAGGTGGTGGGCGCCCTCTGCAACGCCGTCTTCCTGGCCGCCCTCTATTTCACCATGCTGGTGGAAGCGGTGCAGCGCCTGGTGAGCCCGGAGTCCATCAGCAACGCCACGCTCATCCTCGTCGTAGGCGCGATCGGCCTGGCCATCAATCTGGTGGGGCTCCTCGTCTTCCAGGACTGGGGCTCCTGCTGTGGCAGCCGCCGTCGAGGGTCGCCGCCACCGCCCTATCTTAGCCCCGAGGACGAGAGCCCAACCCGAACCGTCACTGGCAGCTCATTTGCCTCGGAGGGGATGGTGGAAATGAGCGGCAGCGCCGCTGAGCCGCGTCTGAAAGCAGGTGCCTCTCGTTGCCTCCCTGCTCGCCATTCGCAGCATCTCTCCCCCCACCCTCCCGCATTCCTTCCTTCCTTCCTTCCTTCCTTCCTTCCTTTTCTTTCAGCTGCCTTAAAAAAAATTGTCTCTCTTGTCTCCCTTCGCTCCGTCCTTCTCCAGTTTCGCCCAATTTCTCTTTGCCTTTGGGTATTTTTTGGGATATTTTTCACCCTTCCTTTTTTATTTCCCATCTTCTTTTGGGAAGTGTTGTGTTTGCATGTGCTTCTTTGAAAGTGCTAATTCTTATTCATTCTTTTCTGATTATTCTATTTGCCCGTTCTTATCTATAGCCCTCATCCTTACGCTTATGGACCTTTCCTCCTTATTTGAGCTACTTATCTTTGCACCTTTGTCTGTAGCTATGCCGTTTCCCCCTTCTCTTATTCTTGCTTTTTCCCCACAGCATTTCTTCTTCTTGCTCTCTTTTTGTTTTTATTGCACAATATACATTATTGGAAAAGAGTGATATATAATATATAACACATTAATACACACACACACACACACACACACACAGACATACATACATACATACATACATACAGATTAGGTTACACTAAAAGGATAATAATGTACTTACTGGCAGTGTACTTGTATAATGATTTATTACTAAATAAAGCCAAAGAAATAATTGTATTTGTAACATTAAAGTAACATTGAAGCAATCTTTGTGTCAATTAGTGTTTGTTTTTGCAGCCTTTTGATATTATAAATCATTTTTTCTATACTTCAATAGTAGGAAAGAGATTTCAGAATTAATTAGATGTCAGGCTGTATCAGGTGGTCTTTATGAATATTAAACAATTCCATTCAATTTTGCCCCGTTGCTTTATTGGCTTGTAATTATACTACAGTTTGCATGTAGAGTGTATGCAAGCATGAGTCATAAGTAACTTGCTGGTTCTGAGTGTTTAAGATAAGTTGGTTTTGAATAGATTTGTATCTTTCTGTTTGTAGAATTTATGCACAACACAGCGTTTCTTCTTTGAATGTAGGTGATTCTGCAGATACCCAGAAAAAGCCTGAAGAGGATCAGAAACAGAAAAAAGAAAAAAAGTCTGAAGCCTTGAACATCAGAGGTACTATAATAGAGATAAAAGATTTTTCTAGAATAAGACAGCCATAATTAGAGATAAAGTGTTCTTATTTATAGTTGCTTTCTATACAAGTTTATACCAAATTTTGGAATCCAATGTATTCCAATACAGTTATCCTGTCCCCCCCCCCCCCCCCCCCCCCCCCCCNCTTATGCTTTGTTTCAGGTGTTCTTTTGCATGTGATGGGAGACGCTCTTGGCTCAGTTATTGTTGTAGTTGCTGCTTCCATATTCTATATACTTCCTCTGGATGAGAACACACCTTGCAACTGGCAGTGTTACATTGATCCGAGCCTGACCATTGTTATGGTCTTTATTATACTGTCTTCAGCCTTTCCACTTATTAAGGAGACAGCAACCATTTTGTTGCAAATGGTTCCCAAAAACGTGAATATGCAAATACTGGGTAAGTTGTTTTTGGACTGTTATGACCCTTAAAAGCTGGTGTTGTTTCTGGATTATACATACACTGCAGCATTACATGTTCAAGGGTCACACGGTGGTACTTCCTAGCAATATGGTTCAAGTCTTAGAGGATTAATAAAGACACGTATAGTTATTTTAAGAACAGGCCACATAGGAAGAATCAAGCTGTTGTTTGCAGAAATTCCTGTACACACTTGTAGACATTTGTAGTCCATAACTACTAATATAAATAGATTGGTTTATTGTTATGCATTGTGGATCACAATCTCATATTTATAATGTATTTATAAGTTGTGATGGTTGATTTTGTTTTTGAATTCACTTCTCTGAACTTGGAATTTTGGAATAGGGTTTGCTTGCTGAATCTATCCTTATTTTGAATGAAATATATCACAAGGTGGAACAAAGCAATTCTTCAGTTTTTTTAAAGGATAGACTTCAAAGCAGCACTGAAAAAAACAGAATAAAAATTGAAATATACTACAAATTGATAGTTTCCCCCCCAGCTTCATGTGGGTCATGTACATAATACTTATTGCTGTATAGTAACAAATGTGCTGATACCCAATATATATTCAGAATATAGTGTTATTTAAGAGGTATCTAATTTTGAAATTTCACATTTAATTCATTAATTTGTTTTCAGAGCTAACTTCATATCACTGTTTACCAGGCTGTAGTTTACTGGGTCATATGATCTTGTGACTTAGTTTATCCTGGTGCCCTCCAGTTCCCATTCAGCCCCCATAATTCTCAAACAATCTGCAGGATATTAGGCAGCAGAAGTTGACTTATTTCTGTTTCTTCCAATGTAATTATTAATGTTGGCAGGAGGAATTTCAACAGGTTCCATCCAATATCCTCTGTTTCCATATTTCTTACCTGGAAGTTGTTACAATATTAGGCACTGTGAGACATGGACCCATTGTTTCAGCGGGAGCTGGTTTCTGTTTTATCAGCCCTACATTATTGTACAGCCTGGAGAAGTTATGATCAGGTTCTTATTCTGTCCATTCTAAGATGCATGCTTTGTGTTTGTAGATGCAGCTAAATATTAAATGGAATACTACGGAATGTGGATAAAAATCTGATTATCACCTTGTTTGTATTTTTCTTCTTCCTAGCAAACAAATTACTGGAGGTGCCAGGTGTTAGCAGCATTCATGAGCTGCATATCTGGGAATTTATCAAGGGGAAGAATATCGCCACACTCCATGTCAAGTGTCACTCTACTTCTGACTACCCCATTGCTTCCTACAAAATCAGAGAGGTGTTCCATGAAGAAGGGATCCATTCGGTGACCATCCAGCCAGAGTACCTAGACCATAATTGTCCTAAGGTCCTGTGCAGTACACCATGTATCTCCAGATCGTGTAATCCTCAGTTGTGTTGCAACCAGCAGGACGCTCTTCTTTCTCAGATGAATGGTTACAGTGAAACAATAGGCAGCTTTTCTCCATCACTGAAGAAGGTCTTCCAAAAAAAAGATGCTGTAGAAATTCCTGTTGAACCCACATGGGCTGAAGATAAGGTCAAAAAGAACAGTTGCTCCAAGGACAGTTATAAAGAAAAAAGTGAAAACACACCACATATAAATAACACTCAATTTTAGACTTTGGGGTAAATGTATTCTAAATTCTTTTGTCTCAAAAAAAGTTGGGAAGATTTCTTGTATAAAGCTTCCTTTGGTTGAAAAAGAAGTAGCTGCTGGCGAGTGTTTGCCACGTTTCTGGGAGACAGCAGTTGAAAGTTGAATACCAAGTGTATACGTATTACGACTAAAACAGATGCCATTGGTTTCTTCTAAGATCTAGTTGAAATGGACAGCCATTTTCCTAATGTTGGGCAAATAAGCAGTGCAAAGAAAAAAGGACAAAGTATTTAGGCAATGAGTAGAAGTGTCTTCTGCTCAGATAACTCTTCAAACCTTGTCTTAATTGTTAGTGTGTGCATCTCTCAGATGCAAGTAGAAGAATGTTGAGATTTCCTTCTGGTTTAATGTATTAATTAGGATGCAGATTGCAAGCCTACTACTTTATGATTGTCCTGGCTTATGGCATATCTTTATTTTCCACTGAACTTTGTTTTTCTGTTTACTTGAGATCGATGAAAAGGAGAAAAGTCAGGAACTAGGCTCCATGGGTGTAGGGAATAAATGAGTTAAATCAGCAAAAGGACCAATTAATGCACCCTTTTGTGGTTCACAAACTAAGAACTATATTCTTACTAAAATATGAATGGAGATATTCAAAATATTTTATTTTCTCCAGTTACTGTCTTTACATTTTTCTCATATCCAAGTAATTATAAAATGCTGGAATATTTTTTAGAAAACATTTGAAATAATTTATTGGATTATTTGCCATGAAGTGTGAGTTTTTCAATGTGCAATTACGTCATTTGTATTGAATTAGCAAAGAAGTAAAGCTGCAAGAAATAAGAATTTGCATTTACCTTAGGCAGGGTAGAACATACCTCTGAGTTTGTTTTAAAAGAGTAACCCTATGACTACACTGAGCAGTTCAGATACTGTTTCTCTCTCTCTTCTTTTGTAATATGGTGCTATTGAATAGATTTTTAAAAAAAATTATGGAACTTCCTTCAAGACCTTTTTTTTTAGAATTTTAGATCTTTGACTTGCTGGCCTGATTTAAAGCTCAATCCAAATAAATATAGATAATTGTAAACCCTTTGAATGCCTCCTTTAAATACTGCTCTTGTAGCCATGTAAGTGGTTGAGTGAGGCTGAATGATGATTGTCCTTCTGCTATCTTGAGTTTTTTTCATGTTTTCCTTTCTTTAGGTTTTTGTTGTTATTTATGTCTGATGTTTTTCATATTGTGACATGAATTATTGTGCTTGTAAGCTACCCAGAGCCACTTTTTGTGAGATGGGTAACTATATAAATTTGCTAAATAAATATAGTATAAATATAAAACTGCTAAAAATAAAATTGCTTGGAATATTTTACATAATTATTGTAGAAATTTCAGTAAGCAGCTAAAATTCAGTTCATAGAGTCTGGCTATCAGAGGGTTTAGTCCTGATGAAAAAGGTGGGGATGGAAGAAAAGGTTAATCCATATAGCTGTCTCCACTGAATGTAATTCACCCCTACCCAGTCAGTACACTGGTCTTCTATCTTATTATTATGGGCAGCACAATGTAACCCTACTAAGCTGTGTGATGTCACAGCTATATTTCTATTTCATGTTTCACTGAATGTTATTAATTTCACACTGGGCTTTTGCAGGTTGAAGATTAGAAATTTAGACTCCAAAAAAGTTCTGGGCAAGTTTTAATGAACCTATTGGCAATGAACCTTGGGTATAACCTGTGAAATTAATGCTGCTGTTTGAAATTAATACTGTTCCAGGCAAAATTTAATGGAAAACAAATGATTGTAATTGCTGCCTGTGTATTTTTCTCTCATTTTAAGTTAATGTTTTGTTGTATTTGCATTTCTGTAGCATAAACTGGGATTGCTATGTGTTCAATAGTAACATTGTGTGTGTGTATGTATGTATGTATGCCTATTTATATTGCTTTAATATAAATAGAAATTTTCTTCCTCTAAATTTTTCCCCCTCTAAAACGACAATTACCATTTAAAGAAATACTTTTTAAAACTATTGCATGAAATATCTCCAAATGGGCAACAATGCTTTGCTGGGATGGTAATTGTTGTTTTTAATTCCCAAAATGTATATAATAAATAAAGAAGTATTAAATTGTTTTCATAAATACAGATAATGCTCTTTCTGTATTTTAAAGACATACGGAATACATTAGTTGTTTGGAATTTTTGAATTGTAATTCTTAATTAGAACATTGAAGATGAGGATACACAGGTCTTGTAGAAATATACAAATAAAGGGGCACAATGATAACCATTTCAAATTCTGTATCAATGAAAAGGGCATTGCATTTACAAATGCCTCATAATAAAATACAAAATTTTACTATGAATTCCTATGTTTGAGTTTGATCTATGCCAGATGAGACCAAACATAAACGGTGTTTTGTAGTACTCTACTGCATTACTGCATCTTTACAAGTTGGGAAGCCCCACTAAAACTTGCTCTTTCCAGAGAAACATCTTTTAATTCTTACTATCGTTTTGATCTGACTTTTCTCAACCACTTTATTCTTTGAATAAATTTGGCTCCAGTGCATCATGTTTTGTGCCCATTCCATGTATGCTGCTTTCTCAGTATAAGTAGCACTTTAGAACTTAGCAATTGTTTTCCTGTAAAATTATTACTCTACACATCTGGCATTTCAATGATTTTGTTCTGATTAGATTTATAATTTTATAATTATAAATTTTATTTAGGTGAGACTTGTCACAAGGTTTATTGATTTATTTATTGGCAATACCCTGATATAATTCAGCAATTAGGTCTACTGACATTTGAATGCATGGCTACATTCCTCCACCAACTAAATCATGCATATTGTATAACAAGTTTTTTCTCTTTGCTTTTTGGAGGAGTTCCTGATGGCCTTGATACATATATGACAGTGGTGGCGAACCTATGGCACGCGTGCCAGAGGCGGCACTCGGAGCCCTCTCTGTGGGCACACGTGCCGTTGCCCCAGCCTCGCCTCTCCCCACGACCCCCTCCTCACCAGCAGCCCCCCTGGAGGAGAGTTGCCCCCGAGCGTGGCTCACACAGAGCAGCGCAGCCAAGGACATGGCAGCCAGGCAGCATAGACAAGACACTGTCCTCACGGCCCATACTGCACAGTTGATGCTGTGGAGCGCGGGCAGGGTGTGTGGCCGCCATGGCGCTGCTGGGCTGCCTGGGTGATCTGTGGTGGGCCCTGGAGGCAGTGAATGGCCCTGCGGGCAGGCAGGGTAGGGGACGGGACAGGGGCAGGGGCAGGGGGTGGAGCGGGGTGGGGCCAGTTTTTGGGCACTCAGTCTCTAAAAGGTTCGCCATCACTGATCTATGATATCAGGAGAGGTACAGGATTTGATTCTTGTCTGAAATAAGAAGATCAAAAACCTACAAAAATCTTAACTAGAATATTACAAAGAATCCTGTAAATGTAATCACTTTTATGAAGTTTAGTACATTTCATTAGCAGATTATGGCTTTTGACTATAATATTTATGAACTGTATATTTATGATGAAGTATCACCTTTGGAATGCATCATCTTCACTAAATGAAAGTTTATGTTATGACTTCCTCTGAAGTCACTTTTGCCTTCCATCAGAACAGCACAGAAACCCTGTGAAACTGAAATTTGTTTGGAAGTTTGAAACTTTAATTCTGACAATAATTTCTATGGGTTTTTAAGTACCGACCATAATATGTACAATTGTTCTTGTGTTTATGCACTTTATTTGTTGAAAATGACATAAAAGTGCAATATATGACACTAATGTTTTAAAAATTTTATATAAATGTTTTTATGTGCACAACTAGTTTTGCTATCTATTAAATATTTTTTTAGAAATATCAAGGTCTATTTCTTTCTTTATATTTTTCCATTCATTTCAAACTGTAAACACATTTTTTGAAGAGTATTTTGGGAGAATATACACGCCATTTTACATGTGACAGATATAAAAAGAGCTTTGTATTTATCACATTTATAACAATCATTAAAGCAAAATGACCCCTATTCCTTCATACATTTACTTTAGCACCTTCCCATTTGAGGAAATAATCCCCAAAGACCCTGAGAAGTTAGATATTCCAAAGCTTTGAGTAACTCTGTTGATTTTTCCTTAGAGGAAAAAAAGCACACCATTTTGTTCAGGGTTTAAAAACAGTACTTTTTCAAATAACTTATTTTGTAGCATGAGAATCAGACATGACTGAATGGAAGAAAATGCAAGCATACAGTAATTTTCCAGAGTAGTCTAGGATCATTCACCCTGCGCTGATCCTCTGCACTGTCTCCCCTCCTCCTTTCTGCCTTCTGGAAGTTCAGCTATTGGCTGAGGACCTGCATCTCTTGAGAGCAGGTTCTGGAGCTGTAATGGAAGGTCCTTGGTGCTGGATTTTGGCTTTGCTTCAGCTGAGCTGCTTTTCACCCAGAAAGTATCTCTGCCTGGAGCAAAAGAACAGGCGTGCCTGTGAAAGGACAGCTGTAGCTTTTGGGGCGTGTATATTATACTGTCTCTGTCACACATAAACCTTCCCATGCTACCCTCATCATAACACGAATGTGTGGAGGCAACAAATGGACAATTAAATGAATTATGTGGGGTGCTACAGGGTTCAGTGCTTTCTGTTCTCTTTTTTAACATCTGGCAAAAGACATTGTCTGGCAAGACTAAGTGGCTTTGGATTTGGGGGCCTTACTGGTTCCAGAACTATATCATCTTTGGTGATGATGATGGTTAGGGTTGCACTATCCCAGACAGACCCTGTGCACAGACTGGGGGTAGACTCACAACTCTTGTTCACAGAACAGATGGCAGTTGTGGCTAGGAGTGCCTTTGCTCAGCTTTACCTTGTGCCCCAGTTGCACTTGTTCCTGGATTGGCAGGTCCTGGTCACAATTACTCATGTCCTGGTCATCTCCAGATTGGATTATGACAATGTACTCTACATGGGGCTCCCCTTGAAGAATATTTGGAAGCTTCTGCTAGT